TATATTCATTTTAATTTTAGCTAAAGTTTTAGTAATTTTGTGTTTTTGTATTTTTATTAATTAAATATCTCTATATAGTTTTTATAAGGTTTTCATTTTGTAATTTTAGTTTATTTCAACGGTACCACAGTATTTCCATCTGGTTCCACCACAGTGGTTTTTGTAAGAGTTTGGCTCTGTGAGTCAGAAGAGACCAAAAGTGCAGCGCTGGAAATCATGAAATAACCGCCGCGGGGAAGGTGGAGGGGCTTGATCCGCTGACGCAGCGCTTTACATGGGTACAGTACGAACAGACACACTGACATCTGGAACTTCTTGAAAGCCTGAAATAAACAGGCACTAGCGAGAGGTACCAGAGTAAAAAGGGCATTCTCCTGTGTTTTTACAGTGCTGTTTGTCCGGGTGCTCATATCCTCTTGTGTCATTTTAAAACCACCCATTAGCGCAAATGAGGGACTAAGCCGAGACTGAAGCCACAGCGGTGGTGCAACTGCATACACACACATTTATACATGGTTGTAGACATGCACAGTGATTTAATGAGGACCACACACTGATGTAAAAAAAAAAAAAACAACTGTAAAGGTCACATGACAGGATTTCAATCACTAGAGGTTGGTGATGTGCTGTATTGTTATCGTTAGTCGTTATATTAAGTAAGTATATTTTTAAAGTATATTTTTAAGTAAAATGAAAGTAAAGTATATTTGTATATTTTTAAACACTCTTTTGTGCTTGATAAGCATTCAGTAACATGCTAACTGATGTATGTAGTTGCTGTATGTAATGTAAAATTGATGAAATTTTCATTTTCATTTCATTATTTCATTCAATAATGAAACTTCGGGGGAAGTCGTGGCCTAATGGTTAGAGAGTCGGACTCGTAACCCAAAAGGTTGTGGATTCGAGTCTCCTACCGGCAGGGATTGTAGGTGGGGGGAGTGAATGTACAGTGCTCTCTCACACCTTCAATACCACGACTGAGGTGCCCTTGAGCAAGGCACCGAACCCCCAACTGCTCCCCGGGTGCCGCAGCATAAATAGCTGTCCACTGCTGTGTGTGTGTGTGTTCACTGCTGTGTGTGTGCACTTTGGATGGGTTAAATGCAGAGCACTAATTCCTAGTATGGGTCACCATACTTGGCCACATGTCACTTCACTTTCACTTTCACTTTCATAATCTGCAAGCAATCTACATGACTCCAGTCCATCATTTAACATCTTGTGAAGCAAAAAGCTGCATGTTTATAAGAAGCAAATCCATCAAGACTTGAGTCCATTGCTTCTGGCTAAAATACAAGTCCATAATCCAACCATAATATTGCTTTCTCCAGTGAAAAAAAAATAGTCTCATCTTAATCAGGAGAGAAATATGCACAGATCAAGCAGCAAACACAGTTCTAAACAAATATATTGGTGGATATAGATTGCTGTGAGAGGGAAACAAGGGATGGATTAGTGTTATTATGGATTATGGAGTGGTGTGGATTACTTGTGTATTATTGTGATGTTTTTATCAGCTGTTTGGACTCTCATTCTGACGGCACCCATTCACTGCAGAGGATCCACTGGTGAGCAAGGGATGCAATGCTAAAGTTCTCCCAATCAGTTCAGATGAAGAAACAAACTCATCTACATCGTAGCAATTTTTGTTGTCAACCCCAAGGATGAAATGGTTTTAAATAAAATGTCTGCTAAATGATTAAATAGAATATGGATTAATCATCAATCTTTAAAAATAGCATATTTCTTGATTCCTCATATCTATCTGAGATGTCTGAAACAACAAGTAAAAACAAAACAAAAACAAAAAAAACAAGAAAGACAAAGGCATTATGGGATGATTAGCATTTTATCACTAGTTTAAATCTCTGGGACACATGAAACATCAACCAGTATTTTGAAAAGATACTCACGAGCGAAAGCTGGTGCACAGAGCAACATGAAGACAATCAAACGTGTTAAACATCTTGCCAACGTCCGTCGCCAGACCCGACTCCTGCCAGAGACGGAGACGTGCATTATTCAGACTCGCACAATATAAAACTAACACATGCAAACAAATATTCTACACTGAGGAAGAAGCAATGCAAAAGATGAACTTGTAAAACCATATACTATCTGAATATTGCTGAGATGTGTCTATGGAAGATTCGACTCTGGGTTTGGTGTTTCTGAATCAAAATATTTTCAGATGGACACTACTGCTGAAAAGTTGGGGTTAAGTCTTTCTTTCTTTCTTTCAAATTAATAATTTTGTTTAGCAAGGGTGTATTAAACTGATAAAAAGGTGACATTAAGGACATTTGCAATGTTGCACAAAAATTCTATTAAAAAATTTTGTTCCTTTGAACTGAAAAATCAAAGAATCCTGAAAAAAGATATCATGGATTCCAGAAAAATAAATAAAAATTAAGCAGCACAACTGTTTTCAACATTGATAACAATAATAAATAAATGTGGCTTGAGCAGCAGAACAGCATATTATACTGATTTCTGAAGGATCATGTGACACTGAAGACTGGAGTGATGATGCTGATAAATCACCTTTGCAGAAATAAATGACATTTTAAAATATATTCTAATTTAAAACTGCTACATTAAATTGTAATGATATTTTAAAACATTACAGTTTTACTGTATGTTTAATCTAATAAAGGCAGCCATGGTGAGCATAAGACTTTCAAACACACACACACATGCACACACACACACACACACACACACACACCCACACACACACACACACACACACACCCACACACACACACACACACACACACCCACACACACACACACACACACACACCCACACACACACACACACACACACACCCACACACACACACACACACACACACCCACACACACACACACACACACACACCCACACACACACACACACACACACACCCACACACACACACACACACACACACCCACACACACACACACACACACACACCCACACACACACACACACACACACACCCACACACACACACACACACACACACCCACACACACACACACACACACACACCCACACACACACACACACACACACACCCACACACACACACACACACACACACCCACACACACACACACACACACACACCCACACACACACACACACACACACACCCACACACACACACACACACACACACCCACACACACACACACACACACACACCCACACACACACACACACACACACACCCACACACACACACACACACACACACCCACACACACACACACACACACACACACACACACACACACATCGTATCAACCTCAAAATTTTGAATGGAATAATTTAACAGCACTGAAAAGCACATTATTAAAGTCAGTCAGACACAGACCCTCAAGAAACCCCAGCAGCTCCTCACTGGAAGAGAGCCATGCTGAGAGAAACAGAGACACTGAGCTTTTGATCAGACCCAGAGCCACCTGTCCACTCTAGCATCCCTGTGTGTGTGTTGTTTTAAATTGGCTAGAGGAAGGCAGAGGAAGGTGACAGGAAGATATTCTGCTACAGCAATGATGAATGAGTCATTCTCTTGGGTCAGAGGTACTGACACACAATATGCACCATCTATCCACAGCACACACACATGTAACCCTGGCACCCATCCATCCACCTATCTACAGGACGCATGCAGAGTCATTCCACTGACTGGACTAATGGTGAGCATGTTAAAGCCACTGTAGGGGACTTTTTTGCAAATATTATGCATCAAATTTCCAGCTACCTTACAGATATCTGAAACAGATGCCCTGAGAATTCACAGCAGTCTCTTTGACAGCACTAGATTCTCTGTGAAGCACAAACGCATCGTCCTACGCATGTGTCGGTCGATCCAAAACTTGGCAAGCTCTCTGCCTGTCAGTCATTATGTGTTCGAGTTTGCTGACACTGATTCATTAAAATATCTGCCTCAAAAGAATGATTGAGACACCGGAACTTGTCTGATGAAATCTCATGAATGTTATTAGGCCGATGTCAAGATCTGAATAACAACTTTGAATCAATAATTGTTTCAGTCTGTTTCTCACACAAAGCTGTTGCATGCCTTATTGTATTAACTCTACATATTACAGGTTTGGAACAACATGAAATACTGTTCAAATATTTAGGGTAGTAAGCAGTAAAAACAGAAATATTATGAAAATTATTACAATTTAAAATTACTGTTTTCTATTTGAATGTATATTCAAATGTATTTTTTGTTGTGATGTGCTGCTTAGTTTTTTTGTGGAAACAATGATATTTTTTTCAGGATTTTTTTTATGAATATAAAGATCAAAAGAACAGCATTTGTGACAGAAATCTTTGTAACACTATAAATGCCTTTACTGTCAGTTCTGATCAATTTGTTGCATCCTTGCTGAATTAATTTCTTTAATCAATGAATATAAAATCTTACTCACCCTCAACTTTTGAATGGCATATAATACTTTTATATACACAATGCAACTCACATACACCCTGTTAGGACTGTCAAAATGATCCTCTCTCCCTCTCAGCTTAATCTCACTCCCTTGACAAATGGTTTTGCAAGCAAGCAATTGCAAGCAATTTTTCTATTATACAAAAATAACAGCTTGTATTTTTCATTTGCAGCTGTTGAGGCAGAAGCGTGTGTGGTGATGACAGAATAATGAAACAGAAGGATGAGCGCACAATACAGATAATTATACAACTTCAGATCTGTGGTTTTTCATGGCCATAGAGAGAAATAAAACAGAGAATGTACATATAAAGGGAAATAATCCGCTACAATGTAAAACATAAAGAGGTGTGTGTGTGTGTGTGCGTGCGTGCATGCGTGCGTGCATGTCACACATATGGCAGTGGCCCCCAAGCTGTGGTTTTGGTGTGTGAGTCAGATTCCCTGGCAGCTTTGCTGAACACTCACAGTGTCTTAATTAAAGTATTCCCAACCTTACCTCCTTTATATGACAGTTACGACAGTTTCGAGTTGACTCGCTTGACAGTTGTTCGCTTGACAGCACCAATATATATATATTATACTATAAATATCAC